ATGCTTATGGTCGTACAGTATCAGTACAGAATGACCACAAACCTCGTGCTGATATACTACGCAAGCTGCTGAGCATGGCTCCAAAGCATCTTCAAGACATCATGACGCGTTATAACTGGTATGATGTCAACTTCGTGTTTATGAAAGGCACTTGTCTACACATTGCCAACACCTTAAGTAGAGCTCACTTAGACTCTGTTGAAGGTAACCAGGACGACCGTGCGCGAATCATGAACATATATGCCTTTGCTGAAATCCCAGATAAGCATCTGGAGGAGATAAGAGAAGCAACTTTGCACGACACTAGCCCACAAACCGTTATCAAGTTAGTCTTGGATGGATGGCCTCAAGACGAACACAGTATTACCCCTCAAGCCTTACCTTATTTTGACATGTGTGACTCTCAGTATAGTAAATGGCATCTTAGTAAAAGGAGAAGCAATAGTAATTCCATCTGAACTGAGAGCATCTATCAAGAAAAGACTCCATAGTGCACATCTAGGCTGTGAAAGCATGACAAGTGGAGCTAGAGGCATTAATTCTGGCCTAGCATGGCCCATGATATTAAACAATTAGCCAATTCGTGTGAAATCTGCCAAGAAATGAAGCCACGAAACACTCAAGAACCATTGAAACAACACAACGAAGGTGAAGGGCCTTGGCAAAAGATTGGTGTGGATTTCTTTGAAATCGCAGGAAAGCACTACTTTATTGTGGTGGACTATTAGTCTAATTTCATAGAGATTGATCTACTGACAAGCCAAACGAGCACCTGTACCATAACTCTTCTCAAGAAACATCGAGCGGTACAGCATACCAAGAGTAATTGTGTCAGATGGAGGTCCTCAATTTACCAGTCAAGACTTTAACTCATTCATGACAAGCTGGGGTATTTCCCATCACACATCATCACCCATGCATCAACGTGCTAACGGCAAAGCAGAGTCCACCATGAAGATTATGAAATCCTAGCTAATCAAAACTTACAAGGATGGTGGCGATCGCTATGAAGCCATACTTGAACAATGAATCACCCCTCGTCAGGACAGACTTGAGTCTAGCGCAAATGATGTTTAGCCACAAAACACATAGTTTCTTACCAAGCTTAAGCAGTAACCCAAAGAACACTCTCATGAAAGGGAAACCTGATGCGCGAAAACGCAGCGTGAAAACATGTCACGATCGGAAATCATGCAAACTCTCAGTTATTGAAATTGGACAGTCAGTATTCTACCAACACACAGAAGGTCAGAACTGGAGATGGGGCAAAGTAACTGGAATTTTAGGCCGTAATACGTAGCAAGTGGAAGGTGCCAATGGCGGCAAGTACAGAGGAAACCGTGTGCATCTAAGACCCAGCAAAGTAGTACGCACTCCTCACGATGTGCCTCCTATCGTTTTGTCTCATACTCCTGACCAAGTATTAACTTCAGCCGTGCCTACAGTTCCTCAAACTCCAACCACTGGTGCTGAGGCGAAAGAAAGTCATTCGCACAGTGAGGCAACTACTCCTGTTAAGAGTCCCGCACCAGATAGGCCTGAACGTCAAAGCAGATTACCTATTCCTTTTAAGGATTATGTACTCAAGTAGAGACTGTTTCTGATCAGTTGAACTGCTTTATTTAGAAACTTTGCTTACTAAAGATACTGTTAGAGTTCCTTCTTATTGTTACTTAAGTGGACATTTTCAGTGAAAGATTCGGCTTTCATATTTATTTGCTAAGAAACTCCACTGTTATTTCTCTAAAGAAGGGATGTTGATTGATAGTATCTTGTACCACACATGAAGTATGTTTCTAGTTCCCATGATCCTCCACTTCGAACAATGTGCTCTCGTAATGGCGGTTCAGGAATAAACCCATGTTGTTGTGTTGCACTCTTGTCGTATTCCTCGTTCTTCACTCTAACAAATCAACAGAAATCATTTCAACATTCATGGAGGAGCAGAAGAAAAAGGTTTCCACCGACGGCAGGACGATGGTCTTGAAAGCTGATAGGGCCCTTTTTGGACAGATCATAATCATTGGTCAGAGCCGGAAGATTGATGTGAGAGAACTGCTACAGTACAGCTTGGGGCCACTGCCATGGTCTTTAGCGACTACAGAAGGGTTTCCTAGAAAAACAAACAAAGCAGTGCTAGCGACTCCCCTCCAAAAGGATGTACCGTTAGCTGATGGCCTTCCGCAGAACTCAGCTGCTATTATCGACGGTGTAAGTCTAGTTCAGAAGTTGAGCGTTGGTGGAGGACAGACAACCTTCGCAATGGTTGCTTCTTCTCTTCTAACAAAAGTTCTTCACAAAGGCTCCCAGAGCAACAGAATTGACGTGGTTTTCAATACATACAGAGATATGTCAATTAAGAACGCAGAGAGAACCATGCGTGGAGAAGTTGCGGGAGTTCAACTGTCGCATATAAGTTCTACTCAGCTGGTCAAGCAGTGGAGAAAGTTCCTGTCGGAGGTCAAGAACAAGACAAGTCTAATCAAGTTCATTTCCAGAGAATGGAGAGAAGAAGACTGCATGAGAAGGCTGAAAGGAAAAACATTGTTTGTTACTGCCGAGAGCGAATGCTGGAAGATAACTGAAAAGGGAAGCGAGAATGTGGCAGAGCTGACAAGTAACCAGGAGGAAGCTGACACTCGTCTACTGCTTCACGCTAAACATGCTGCCCAGGAGGGGTATGAAGCAGTCGCAGTGATCTCAGAAGACACAGACGTGTTTGTCTTGCTTTTGAACTTCTCAAGCATTATCAACACTAGACTCTATATGAAGTGCGGTTCCAGAACGAGGACGCGACTTGTCGACATCAAAGGAGCAGTTCAGAGAACCGGGCGAGAGATATGCGAGGCACTGATTGGGTTGCATTCTTTTACAGGGTGCGATTCAGTAAGTGCCTTTGCTGGTAAAGGAAAGATAGGGGCTCTTAAAATCCTTAAAAGCAATGAAGGCGCAAGAAGAGCGTTCCGAGAGCTTGGCCAGTCCTGGACAGTATCAGAGGACCTTTACACTTTGCTTGAGAAGTTCACCTGCTCCATGTACATACCGGTCGGCAACACAACCAGCCACGTGAATGATGCACGATACGAGCTGTTCTGTGCAAAGAATGGCGAACTGGAGTCACACCAGCTACTTCCTTGCCAGGACTCCCTTCGGAAACACATTCTTTGTGCAAACTACCAAGCAGGTTAGTTGACAACGCCTGTTTCTATTAAATATTTGTCACAGGAAATGTGTTGAGGATAACAACTAATTTAGTATTACATCATTCCTGCAGCTTTATGGAGATGGAGCCTGGAGGCTAACCCAGACATTCCCAGTTCAGATGGATTGGGGTGGATAACACAGACCTCCACTGACGCCGCATCCACTGAACTAGTGATCGACTGGATGGACGGGCAGCCAGCTCCTTCTGCTGTCCTGGGACTGCTGGCGTGTAAATGTAAGAAGACCTGTGAACTCCCAAGTTGTGTTTGCATGAACAGTGGTTTGAAGTGCACGGATCTCTACTCGCTAAACGACTGCACCAACCAGCCAGCTCAAGACAATTCATCAAACATTATTGATAATGAAGCAGATGAAGATGATGATGATGACTTTTAATGAACTTTGTAGATTGCAAATATTCTGGGAAGTTGTTAGAGAAACAGCAACTTCCATTTTCAATAGGAATGCATGCCACAGTAGCTAAAACTTAAAAGGAAAGTTTCTTCAGATAAAGAAAAATGCGCTTTTTTGCACGAAGATGAGTTTCCTTCACAGAAAAATATACTTCAATTAGTAAAAATTGAAGTTTTTTAACAATATCGTAAGCAGCAATGCTAAAAATAGCTTGAGCCGCGAGTCTGGGAGACTGGGAACGAGTGTTTAAAAATGAATATTACGGCAAAATATCATAGTTTAGACAGGAATTTGCATCAGCTTGCACAATTGAACGTTAAATGTAAAGTCAAACCATTGAGATAACTTTTAAAATACTTCGGAAGGTACATATTTCATCTTTTTGCCAATCTGAAAACAGTAGTTCGGTATATTTGGCATTTTATGGCAATTCGACCTATCACGTGATCACTTTGACGTGTATCTGGTGGTTAAGAGTGATTGTTAAGTCAATAACGTGTGACTTGCATATAAATTGGGCATTGTATGGATCGTAACATACTTGTAAATGCTTTTCTTTATGTTCAGTAAGCTAAGTGTGTAACAGTACTCTTAGGGGGGTAGGGGTAAGAAAAAGGCATGTAACGCTTAAAGATGACACTTTGTGCAGTGCTATCACACAAAAATAAAAACTTGGGTTAATAACCTACCTTTTTATAGGCATAAGTCTTTGTCCGTTTGAATGGTACCAATCGACCATTTTGAGGTCCTGGCTCATACACTAAAAAGGGAAACACGACTACTGTCAAGGTATGTTTTCATAAAATAAGCCTTAAAACATATCATATAAATTTTTAGACTCGTTTTCTTTTTTAAAATGTCCATCATAAATCAGGAACATAAGTAAACTAAGAAAATTAAGTTCAGTAAAACTCATTGCAGTAAAATTAATACTGAATTGGTGAGCTTACAAGACTAATTACCAAACATACTATAAAAATAACTAGAAATTCACCATGATTTTTAACACTTATATTACTTCTAAAACTTTATTTAAAATATCTAAATGTAAGAAATGAATCTGTTCTCCTACAAGTAACTGAGCCATTAAATAGAAGAAATTCCTCGGAGTTCTTTATGAGCTTGTAATTACAAGTACCTGCAACAGACCGACATATTATATATTTTTTTTGTTTTCTGCTACTCCCCCAACTTTTACACTGTAAATGTCCTGGGTTCATGAGATCGTCTTTTAGTTTTTTACTGAAATGCGTTTTTAAGGCCAGTCAGTGTATCTGAAGGAGATGAACAGGGAGATAAGAAATGTTTTGTTCTATAAACAAATGAATATCCATTTTGATAGAAGGTAACCGAGTTTCATTTTACTGAAATAGATTTTCTGACATGGAGGTACAGGTCGTACAGTAGAACACAAGTGCGAAGGTCATGAAGCCACGCTAGTAAAAAACCTCTGCACAGGAGGCTATAAAGCAGCAGGGCATGCAGCCGTGAAATTAGATTATCTTCGATCCCACATGGCAGAGGGACTTACGCAAGAAACTAAAAAGGGAGATGAAAACATACAAAAAAGGCGAAAATCTCTTCTATGATGGAAAATTGCCAGAGTTTTCAACATCTGCCCTCTTGGAAGAAGCAAATGAGAAAATGCCCCTCCTCTACACCGTGATAACAGGATCTTCATGGAAAAACAAAGCAAAGCACTTAAAAGTAAAGGAAGCACTTCTGTTTTCTGCGTTCTTAAGTATTTCAATCCCGCAATCCAATTTTGCCTACTGTAACAATGTCCTACTACGTGTTGGTGGTTGCAAGGGAGAAATAATCAAGATGTTTCAACAGCAGGGCTTGTGTAGTCACAAGAACACTGTAACGAACATGATGGAAAAAGTTGTAAAATCTTTTGACAAGGAACTGCGTTGCTGGAAAGAAGAAATTTCGACATCCAAAAAGCAGGTGCTTCTACTAAAGGAGTTTATGGATAGCTTACCAGCACCGGAGTATGAGGGAATGGAGGTTTCAACCATCGTCTTTTGAAAAGACACCTTAAAAAACTACATTTTTAGAGGAAGAAACCTTCAACTAATGCCAGAATATGATTCCTTTGGATGGAAATGGAATGTGCAATATTGATGATGTTAGAGCAATTAAACATCTCGAGGAAAATGGCCCATCTCGATATAGGTAGGTGTGATTTAGTATCTCCTCAGGGACGATTTTACCTGGCGAGGAAGCTAATGACACCGGAGCCCAGTGTCTCTCTTTAAGGAGGCTCTGCCCTAATCTGAGATAAGACCCAACTTAGCGGCTCTGAGAAAATGCAAGGGGTGACAGGCCGCACATCTATACCGGCGTGAAACGTGGTGTAAATCTTTTATATTTTAGCTCTAATTGGCATGTCCTTTAGGGAATTTCCTTTCTTGTAGGAAATGATAGGTGATTCTTTGAAAATGTGGCGAAGTAACGGTTGGTTTTGTATAAGATTCCACTTTTTCATTAAAACTTCTTTTAAAGTAGACACTGAGGGCTGGTACTGTGTCACAAAAGGCAATATTTCTTTTTCCTCTTTGTTGTTGTGTTTCATGAGAGCAGACTCCCTCTCTGTAAACTTTATATCTGATAGGTTTTCTATCATAGTTTGTGGGTAGCCTCTGTCAATCAAGCGTTTTTTGAAATTTGAAATATTTTCCTCAAACGTAGTTTTTGAGTTCGTTCGTTCGTAGGATTCTCGAGGCTTCTCCTTTGACAAATCCTTTTTTAACACTCGGCGGGTGACAAGAGGTGAAATGTGTGTACTGGAAGGTTTCCGTTTTTTTAAAATGTCTTTACATCAAGGATAGATTTTTCCTTGAATCTTGTTCCTTTGTATACCATCGTGTCTAAAAACAGTCTCGGTGTCAGATATTTAGGCCATGAATTAGATAGTTGGGTGATGTAAGTTCGCTTGTTCCATGAAGGCTTCGATGTCTGGTTTACTGATGTCTCAGAGGGAAAAGATATCGTCAATGTAGCGTTTCCAAACTGTAGGTTTAAAAACGGTTCTGCTTAGAATTGTTGTTTCAATATGTGCCACGAAAATATTGGCAAAAGAAACTGCTGTCTTTGTACCCATTGCAGTGCCATGGGTTTGTAGGTAGTATTTTTCATTGAACTGGAAAGAATTTTCTTTCAGGATTAGTCGAAGCATTTCCTGCAGGTAATGTGTAGGAATAGGAGGGTTGTCTTTGTAGAAGTTTTCATATGCTTTGCAGACAATTTCAATGCCCTCGTTTTGTGGTATATTTGTGTAAGGACTTGTGACGTCCATCGAAACAAGAAATCTTCGTTTTTTCACCTTTGTGCTTTCAATAAAATTATAAAGTCGGTGGTATCTTTAAGGTATGATTTCTGTATTTTTGATATTGGTTCCAGTAATGTATCAACAAAACAGGAAATTCTTTCTGTTGGACCATCGAAGCCGGAGATAATTGGTCTCCCTGTAATGGTTGGCTTGTGAATTTTCGTTAGAGTGTAGAACTCTGGTGTTCTAGGTGGATTAGGTGTTTGAGATAGCCATTTTCTTGTCATGTCATCAATATGATTTTCACGGCGAAGATCTGTAATTAGGCGCGAGACATAAACAGCTTGCCTCGCGCAGAGGGCAAAGTGATACTTCGGTAATTTTTGACTTTGGATCGATCGTCCTTCTTGTGAATACGTACAATGAGGCCAAAACTTCAAAGAGCAGGGTATTTGCCAGTATCTAAGATTCGATTAAATGAATTTAACAAATGCCCTTTCATGGCGTCCTTTCCGATTTTCATTAGTTCATGTAACATATTATCGATACCTGGAGATTTGCTTGCCTTCAGTTTGTTAATTGCAGTTTTGAACTCTTTATCAGTTATCAGATAATAAAGTGGGCTTTGCACTCTTTCGCTACTATGGGTTTCCATATTCGTCTCCAGATCTCGTATATTATTCAGAGGGGTCGCATTCTGTTGCTCAAACTATTTATAAAACTGTTCTGTACTCACTGTTTCAGCTAATGTCAGATGTGTTTCTCTTTTTCCTAAGTTGAAGATTTTTCTAGTTTGTCGCCAGGTCTCTTTGGAGTTCTGCATATCGATATTAGACATGCCTTTGCTCATATACTCCCGTTTCTCCCTTCTACAAGTTTGTTTGAACCTCTTCTTTTTCTCTCACAGTAGTTGTCTCAGTTCTGATTAGTGTTATGAGAAATTTTCTCCCTAAGGGATTGCAAGTTTTCTTTTTCCGTTTTTGCATTCCTGATAAAACCATCTGTTTTGTGATTTGCATGCAATTTTGCTGCCTCTCGCACTCCATCCAGTTTCTTTGCATGCTTCCACTAAAGTTTCACTTAGTAATTCAGACGCAGTATCAATGCTATCATTGATTTTTTTTTTCATTAGAAGGAGCTAAAGTAGGTCATAGGACGCAGACTGGCGACGCGTATGTTGATGTTAAACTAATCTTTTTTAGGGATGTAATGTAATTAATTCGTAGCTACTTTATGGATTTTAACTATATATAAGGTGGGCTACGAAATAGTGTACAAGAAGAACTATATTTTTAGAGGCTAATAACAACGACAGAAGTAGAGGAAATGTTTTCTTTAACAGTATTGATAGTGTGACAAGCAGACTTGCATTTTAATTATACAACATTTAAGGTTTGTCTACATGCAAAGAATCCAAAATGTATTTTCCGTGGATGTGTGTGAAGAATAACTAAAGAAACCTGCTACAACAGGCCTAGCCACAGTTTATCCCTAGCTGTACGCATTGCTTTGCGCAGTTATTTTGCTGGAAGAGTTTATGTGCTATTGATGTAGTGTACACATGGTGACATGAAATAGTGAGTCACCACACCGTGTCACCAAAATGTAATTGGGCTAAATGGTGAAATCATGCATCGTTACAAGAAAAAAGCTTTATTAATCGCTAGTGCAGAAGATAATTTTATAACTTTTCGGTTTTCCCAGCGGCTGGGTACCTGATTTCAGGTCTTTTTTAGCTTTGTACAAGGCGGCATTGAAGTTTGCTTATAAAATTCTTTCTAGATAATTTAATTAAGAACTAGCAGTGACTCGTGCACACTTTCACAACTTAACATAAATCGTACGTTACAGAACCAGAAATGTGAAAGTAACGATGCAGGGTACATTTTGAGAGTTTTATATGTCTTGGGTGAGAAATTGTTCTACAATAGTTTACAGAGGTTATATTTTCGGGACATTCATAATGGTCGAGGCCTTCATTCTTTGTGCTGTTAACTTATAAGGAACTGTAAACACCGTGTTTTTTACCGAATTTCGGGTTTTATGCTTTAAAACTACGTAGACGAATTGAGTTGTCCAAGAAAATTTACTCTTACAGCTCTAATAGAGATGACAATCGTGCTACAATATCGGCGGCACATAATATGACCTCCTTGTTGAAATGTTTAGTACCCTGAGTTGTTAGCTCATACCAAAATATGTTTACCACTTTGGGAAGTAAACATCTCCACATCCTAATTTCATTAAATAGCACTAAATGATTTTGCTTCGGATTTAGTCTGTAGATCATTAGCAGGGAAATTACGTCAGAGTTCGCGCAATTTTCCCTCCTCTTCCCTCTCATTAGACCACATACTCCAAATACCTTTAAAACACAATCCTCGTCACATTAGTTGGGACAGTTGGGATGTTTTCTGCCCTTCCAATGTTAGTTTCTGCGAGTTGGCATCACAGAAGAAAAGCATTCAACACGTAATGTGACGAGGGTTGTGGCTTTTATCCAGAATGATAGGTGACAGTGATCTGTTATGCGTGGCATTAATGGGTTAACAATAAGATATTGCACACTTCTTAGAATACTTTTTGATCCTATTATGTAATCAACAACACTGCTACTGTCGGCGGTCATACAGACCTGAGACAAGGGGGGGGGGGGCTCAAAACAATTTTTGTTTTTGTGCGCTTTCCCAGATGATCAGGATGAAAACATGTCCATCCCTTTCTACCCGGCCATCCATAGGTCAAGAAAAATCTAAGCCATGGGCACGCAGTCAATTCATCTACCTGTTTTTGGCTGGGCATGATAAAACCACCTTGCATTTTTCCACTTCCACCAAGTGCCACCAGATTGTCAAATATATTATTGGCACATGACTTTACTTCAATGGTAGTCATAGACTGATTTAGCAAAAATAGCGTGACGTCAAATGACGACGTGATGACACGAGGAGTAGTCTGGATCCGACTTCCAGAGCCAATGTTGACGTTGTCAGGTCAAGGCTGCATTTTGTTCACGACAGCAATTCCCTTGTTTTCACGTTGCAGTCACAACGTCTGGAGTTTTGTTTTTTTTTGTTGTTGTTTCAAGTTGAAAAGGTAAAAATAAATTATCCTTATATATATAGTGATATTTTCTGATATGTTTTTCAAAAGCCTTCATTGGATTTTGAACTGCTTCCGGTGCCTCTTTCAAGTCCTACGGATAAATATTAAACTGTTGTGTTTTCCACCGTGAAATGTTTGTTCAGTATCGATTTATTGTCTATTTCTTACAGGGTTTTACCAAAGCCATGCCCTGGCGGCAAATTATCACTGCTTTTCACATATTTTTAAGCTTTTGAAAAAGCCAAATACACACTAAAAAATTATTTTGTTTGACTATCTTTTAAGGAGAAATGGAGCTTGGAGGAAGTGACAAGATAAAGTAAGTTTAAAGTTTACAGATATATGTACCAATATTACAAGTCTTACAACAAAATCCACGCGATACCAGAACTTTCAAGTTGTCTTTTTTAGGCTAGTTCTATTTCAGTTCACTACAGTATACCAAAGCATGGTTGTATTCCTCCCTTTTAGCTATGGGCTAATCAATGGCCAACGACCTGCCCGTTCATTTGAAAGTACGTTTAACCTTTATTAGTATGTGTACTTTTTACCCCATGCACAATGAAACAAAAAATGGAAACAAGAATAGAAAACAAATGTATCTTTGTAGCCATTAGCCGAATGGTTTAATGGCAAATCCTTTTTTGTGGGGTGATTTATGAGTAACTTTTCAGGCCAAGGGTATGTACCAGTGTTACTTGGTCTTGAGTAGGCTTTGGAAGAGTGCTGTCTAGGTGTTCTAACATGGAAAAACATGGTACCCCCTCCTTGTGTTTATGATTTAACCTTTTAAGCACCAGTAG